TCCGGGCCCCCATTGGCTACGGCCCCCCCCCTACACCAGGACTCCCCCATCTCCCCCAGACATCAGTCCATCGGTCTTCCAGCTGCCGCAGCCGTGCCTTCACCGCTTCGGCATCCAGCCTCCCCTGCTCCAGCCCGGCATGGCGACCCCAACCCAGGCCCCCACCAAGGGTGAGCGTCGCCTGGGGAAAGGGTGCAGGGGGGCTCCGGGGTCTTAGAGCTTCGGAGAGAGGATCTGAGGAGCTATCAGTACTGGAAAGGGAGGGGAGAGGGGAAGGGGATGTCCGTTCCTCCCATGGGCGAGGCCCCTGCCGTGCACCCCTTGGCGCCCCCTGGGCCTCTTGGGCACCCTCTCCCAGTGGTGTCGCTCCTGTGCGAGACCCGCGGTGGGAGAGCGGCAGTCAGGAGAGAAAGGATGCTCCGACCGGTAGCTATGGCAACCGGGTGGCTGATCCTGCACAGCACAGCATGGTAGTGGACGGCGAAGAGATGGGCTTTGAGGGTGGGAGCTGATGGGTCAGCAGCCACAGAGGTTCTCGCCCTTTTCAGGGTCCCTGAAATGGGTGGGGGTGGGGGGGTCATATACCTCTTTTTCCAGCGCTAGCTTCTATGGTGGGAAAGCCCTGGCAGGCAGGGTCAGTGGGAGAGGAGAAAAAGGAATGGACAGGGAGATGGAGGAAGTGACAGATGGAGAGAGATGAAAACTGACTGAGCCTGAAAGAGATAGAAAGGGATCAAGGGAGACAGGAGACCCAGAGTCAGAGACCCAGAAAGACAGATATGAGACTCAGAGAGATTCCAGGATAGTGAAGGGGAGAGACATGCAGAGAAAGAGAGAAAATCAGAGACAGAGAGAGATAGAGGGAATGAGGCAACTGTGGAGAGGGACGCAGAGAGAAAGACACAGGAGGTGAGAGAGAGACCCAAATCGCCAGAGAGGAATGAAGAGAGAGGAGGAGGGGCAGCACAGGGTGGGGCCTGATCTACTGCAGCAGCCCCCCTGGCAGGAATGGGTGACAGGTCCCTCCTTTCCAGCCCTCATTCAGGGGTCTTGTCTGGACTGGGGGGTGCACTTGGTGCACACAGATGCTCCTCCCCACCTCCATCCAACCACAGCGATGTGCATTTCACACCCATTAACCCAGTTATATGCACCCGCTTAAACACTCTCTCTCCTAAGAGCCTCCTTTCCTTCCCCGAGCTGCTGCTTCAGAGGAGCAGGGGAAAACTGGTTTAATTGAGGGTTGGGGGCAGAGGAAGGGCTCCCAGCGCCCAGAGAGGGCCAGGGGATAAGGCTAGTGGTCCCGAGGAAACCCCACTCCACTCCAATCTTTCCTTGCCTGCCCCCTTTCCCGGCAGGCAGGGGCTGCTGCATGAGCCATATCTGCAGAATTGGAAGCAGGGCGGGGGTGGGGGGGCCTGCAGAGGCTGGAAACCACCCTGGGGAGAGGGGGCTGGGCTGAGCCGGCAGGCCTGGCGGGAGCCCAGGGCTTCTTTTCATGGAGGTGGTTAGCAGGATCGATGACAGTAGGCGGGCCAAGGTGGGAAGACACACGCCTCAGCCACCCCCCCTCCCATCTTTTCCCCAGTCACATCATCAGAGGGGACCACAGGTCTTGGGGAACCCCAGGAGGAAAAGTACGCTGTGTCTTGCAAACTGCTTAAGGAAACTAAATAATGGATTGTTGGGAGGGGAGGGGAGAGAAAGGTGAAGTCTCTCCCCAACCTGTCACAAAGCAGGAGGGAGAGCTGGGGACAAACAGGGAATGCAGGAGACCCACTGGGCCTGGGTCCCTTATTCCTGAGAAGGACCCTCAACTTGGCCAGAAGCCAGCCCTGGGGAGGGGCAACAAAGGGAGGTACAAAGGGAGCAGAGGAAGTCAAGATTGGCTCCAGAGTTAGAAACCCAACCCCTAAGCCTCCCACAGAACCCCACCGGCCTGAGGTGCCTGAGCCCACCACCTCTCTTCACTTATCAAGATGCCCCAGTTACCATAGCAACCACCTCCTTCCTCTTTCTCTGGCAACTGGCCAGGAGTGGTGCACATTCCTTTTCCTGCCTCCTGGCTCCACCCTTAGCTCAGCCTAGCCCTGAGAACCCAGATTGCTGGGGTAGCAGGAACCAGAAGAACTTCCGCATGGAGCACAGAGGAGCCAGGGAAGAACCAAAGAGGATTCTAGGACAGGCACTCACCCAGCGGGTTTCTGATGGTTTGGGTAGGGAGGGTATATGGAAACACAGGCAACAAAAAGCAGGATAATCCAATTGCTGTACCTAAGACTTCCTCTTTGAAGACTGAACAGAGAATGGAGAAGGGTGAACTTGCACATTGTGTGAATCAGTGCTCCTCAGGGTCTTGCCTAAGTGCCACCTGTATTAGTCAGTTTAGGCTAGAGCATTTAGGGCAACAAATAGTACCAAAAATCTCAGTGGTTTCTGACAACTAAGGTTTATTTCTCACTTATACTATTCATCAATCACAGGTCAGCTGGGGACCTCATTCACCAATGAACACCGGAGCGGTTACCATCCTGAACAGTCATGTCACCAGGTCAAAGTCAACAGGGAGCTCTTGTCTGGGCTCTTAAATGCTTCAGCCTGGAAGTGACGATGACATTCCACTCACAGTTCATTGACCAGGATTAGTCACATGCCTCCTTCCCCCCACATCAAGGCAGCCATCTCTCCCTGAGCCTGGAAGGGGAAGAACACTAACTACAACACCTGGCATTGCTGGCACCCCTCCCCTCACAGTGCCCTAGAATTCTGCCCTAGACACGGCAGACTATACTAAGAGCTGTCGGAGGAATTCAGGAGCCATCAGATGGGTTCTTGAATGGGAAAGATGTTCTGAGTTCTCCTGAAGGAGAATATAGTTTGGGACAAGGAGAAAAGAAAATCCACACACATACATAATTTACCCACACATTAACATTTATGAAATCAGGGTGAGTTTTCTAATAGATGGGTGTTTCATGTTGTACAGTTACATACATATTCATACATAAAACATCCACTGGGGAAGCTATTACAAAATCAATTATGAATCTTAAAATCGGTAATGTCTTAGAAATAAGAAATATAAACACATTATATATAGCAGAATATAGGGTATATTATAGGACAGCTCCCTGTGCTGGACTTGGTAGCAGAAGCAAGTGGATGAGAGCAGTAGCTGCAGTGGCTGCCTTTTGGAGCTCAGTGACTGAGAGGTCTTAGGGAGTGTTCAGGGAAAGCGGACACACTCAGCAGCCCAGTGAGAGTGGGAGGTCTCTTCACCTCCAGCACCATATGCACGTGGGATTATATATGTGCTTTCAGGGAATGAATCCATCATTTGCA